GCTGCTGCAACACGAGCACGCATACAACCTACACGACGGGCAGGCATACTGGCGACCAGGGCACGGCGATTAACGTTGAACGAACGAGGTAGACGGCGGGTTGTCAGCTTCCGCAAACGATAGAAGCAAACGGATATGGCCCATTCTTGAGCCCGAAACGAACGTGAAACTGCAGTCCAGCGCAAGGTGTCCAAACTTGGCCGGCTGTCGAACGACGGTAAGGCGTTCTGATCCAACTGAAAAGGAAAGAGCTCCGATTTCAAGTTGTGACACCAACTGTTACACTCGGAGTGGAGCGACTTGAGCCGACTTGCACACAACAGTAGCGTACAAAGCTGAATGTCAGTACCGAAGAGCGATGAACCCGGTAGTTACGAGATGCGGGTGAACGACCGGCAACACGGGCCGGCAAACAATCGATCGTGCGGTGGCGCGAAGTGCAAAAGCAGTGACGATGGGAAAACAGCTCCAATACGGACCGAGGCAGGATTGAACCATAACTCGATACCATATGAAAGGAACTGGCTCCAGTTGGCGACTGGAGGAAGCATTAGTTCCTAACTTGCCCGATCTGCAGAGCCCGACATCAAACGCTGACTGAGAGACAAGGAAGAGAAGAATACTAAGCTTACAAATAATGGTGTAGGAATGCCTTAAATAGTCTGGCAAAGCCTTGCACGACACAGAGTCGTACCGATCAAAGCCAAACCATACGTACTCGGTAACGAACACAAATCCCTTACATATGCAGTTTCTGTAGTCCGTTCATTTGGCATTATGTAAATGTGTGACCTCTGTCCGGCAGTCGCAGTTTCCATCTACCAAAGTATGACCGGTTTGTGCAAAATTTAAGCTATAAAGAAAAGCAATAATTAACTCAATTGGTGTTCCTGGCCTCGCCGTAGTTCGTTAGCCAACTTCCACTCCGGGGCATAGGCACTCCGGGAGGGGGGGGAGGGCGGCTTGGCCCGATCCGGAACGTTAAGGTAGTAATTTTATGTTGATATAATATATTAAGAAAATAGCTGTCTCAAGTCTGCTAAGAGATGAAGGTGAGGCAGGTTATCTATGGTTACAAGCTTAAAAACGAAACGCAAAACATCGCCGTACATTCGTACTAAGGTCATTCCTTACAAACGTTAATCACCCGTTTAATCCATGACACGCACGGTACCATACGTTCTAAGAGAGGAAAAGCGGCCTGAGGGCCCGTATTGGCTCTTCACACATTCCAGATGGAGGTATATGTACGAGTGTTAATCACTCTCCAACAGAAGTTCACGATGTATCAGCCCAACTTAACGACCCCACAGCTCGTGCTCATGCTGCGGGAGAAGGAGAACAATCTTAAGACCCAAGCAAGCAAGACCAGCCTGGTGGGATCTGTCGGCCCTGGCCGTGCCACCAGTGGAGTCGGCAGCACCGCCGGTGCCACAGGCGACGTGGGGGCCGGCGACACCTGCCGCTACTGCGGACAGCCTGATTACTACATCTGCGAGTCCCCCGTTAAGCAGGCGGACGAGTCCGTCGGCCTTCACCGCAGCAACGCATTCGAGCAGCTGCATGCCGCCAGCAAAATCAGTTGAGGTAGCCGCCACCGCCACCATGACGGTGGTGGCAGGGGCACTGGCAGCGGCAACGGCGGTAGCAGCAGGGCGACGGAGCACGCGAACGCGGCCATGCTCGATGCGGCAACAGCCGCCGCAACGGTGGCTACACTGCAGGCGGCAGCAGTGGCAGCGGCTCGGGCAGCAGCGGAAGCAGCTCATGCCAGAGCCGTGCCACAGTGCTCGTCATCGACGGCAGTGGCAGCAGCTCACGATTCGTCCTCAACTCAGGCTCACCATACCACCTCACGGGTGCACAACCATGTCCCCACCGGCGCGCCACGTCTAATCGAGTGGGGCAACAGCCAGCCGGCCGATGTCGTGGGAACAGGGAAGCTGCACCTGCGTACACGCGATGGACACAATGTCCGGCTGCACAACGTGCTGCACGTCCCCAGCTCGGGCCTCACCCTGACGTCTGTCGACCTCGTGAGAGGTCGACAGACCTCATGACACGCGGCTGCTCGGTCACGTTCAGCATGGACAAGATGGGCTGCTGGTTCTCACGCATCAGCCTCCCGCACAACAGCCCGTCTATCACCGCATGGAGCGAGTGTGGGCACTATGCATGGACGTGGACCTGCAGGCGCCCACCGACATCACCATCAATGCCCTCGGCACCGCGGGCAACAGATCCGGCGGGGGCCAGGCCGCAGGTAGCAGTGCTGGCGGAAGTGCCACCGCCATCCCCAGCACCCGTGGCGGCAGCACCGCCGGCAGCCACACCGGTGGAGGCCAGCCGGACGCTGACAGCAACGGCAAAGGGCAACCAACAGCACTAAAGTTTAGGCCAAGCGGCGCCGTACACTGTACGACATCCAACTGACATAGCCGCTTTGCAAGCCGACCGCAGGAACCCGCTTCTTCTTGGTCTCCAGAATCATTAGCTCTCCAAGGTTGCACTTCTCACGCTTGCCGGCTGTTGGGGGTCGTGGTAAACCGCAATTAGTCGATTGTTATGAGGCTTCCGAAATGCTCATATGGTCTTGATTAGCCTTGATTGGGGCTACAAAGCACTTTACGAAAGACTGTGTTTCACAGTTTCACAGAAGGTACTGAAATGTCCAGGATATGCCCACAACTAACGGGAGGCGCGCGCGGTGTTGAACCCATAACTCGTGAAGTCCAGGATGGTAACTGTCCCTCGACCTGGCGGTACTGGACTCCCCGTGCGGCTCTCTTCCCCTTAGCCGTCTGCACGGTGAGGTCCTCACACAAGCTTGTGTACCAAGGGTGCTGTCAGTGTGCTGTCAGTGGTGACAAGGACGCGGGCAGCAGGAGAAGGTCACGTCTGCAAATTGTTCACCGCTGCGAAACCCTAAAACCCTAACTGCATTGCATGGGTAGATGTACCATAGAGGTCCCAAGCACGTCCAAACGCCCTTCGCGCTGACATGGCGGCGGAAGTGAAGTGAGTCGGGGCAAGCCGACCACCAGGAGCTGTCCGCAGAGGTCGGTAAGTCCAGGAGCTGTCCGAGTGGCTCGTTCGGCCCACAGCTCACATAAATCAGAGAGCGCTTCGGCGGTCGTTTTCGTTGGGGTACGGTTAGGTGCCCCTGGCCAGCGTCGCGTCCGGATCGATATGTAACATCGCAGCAACGTCCTGGCGCCTGCCGCAACTTAATCCAACAGTTGCTTACCGAGCCGGCAAAGTTCATTCACCCACCCGCCCCCCGACCAAATCCATTGCCCCAGAGCATCCTGCTTAGCAGTGATGTCGCTCCTCAGCAAGATCGGGGCGACCGGTTTCCATACACTCCTACAGCCGCTTGTGAGCCGACCTTAGTTCCACAGGGATGGGGCACACGGCTTTGCGGCCGGAGAAGACCTGTCACGACAGCCCGGTAAGCAGCCCGGCGCCTGGGGGAGATTTCACACAACCAGGAGTCGCAACCCTTCACCGGCTAGGAGAAACGTAACCCATATCCCTCCAGCTCCCCATATCCCATACTCCGCATCCTTGCCCGGGCTTGATGTTCCCCTTGAGTAACCCACCACCACCGCCACCACCCGCACCACTACACCAAGCACAGGATGTGTACAAGCAAGTAATAAGGCCGTTCCGGTCTTGGATGCATCCTCAAAAACTGACAACCCATCACTCGTTCACTGCTCCCGATGACCCCTTGCTCAGCCTGCTGGGCTCGCGAATGTCACCCACGAAGCGGCTCTGACACCATAGGGGACCAGCCGGAGGGAAACCTTTGGTTATCCCTCACAACCCCGAGCCCCACCCGCAACCCGACATGCAAAACTCCTCCAAAACTGAATGCCTTCCCAAGCACTCGGACACCCCTTCATCGCATGTCCTATTAACTCTTGGAACCGTTCACGGTTACAAGCCTTTAATATTGTGGATGAGTGTTAATTACACTCCAGGGTTTACTTTTCAGAAAACCAGGGTGCCCCACCGCCACCACATCCTATATGCCCAGGGAGAACATCCACATTGCTCAGTCCATCTTCGCCCTTCCCAAACTACTGCTCGCCACCGAGTCCCCAAGCACTCGGGGAGCAGACGTTAGGTGAGTGAAGCCTCCACGTCACTTGGCCGCCACGGCCACTTCACGTGGGAAAAGCGCCTCAGCGAAGGCCTGAGAGGGGGCAGGGAATGGCATGCGAAAGGAAATGTAATGGCTCTGGAAATCCATTAACTATACTATAGTTTATATGTATAAATATACATATATATACCAACTGAGACCTGTCAGGTTCGAAAATCCTTTCGATGGTGGAAGGTAAAGTGACCCTATTCGATGGACGGTGGTGACCTGGGATAAAGTTATCATGTGAGCTAACCAGGAATGGAGTTGAGTCACCGTCGATCCGGCAGATTCCGTTGGATGGCGGTGGTGGGAGCGGAACCCTAAGCGATCCACTGAGAAGTTGACTATTGACTAGGGTGACTAGATGGGGGTGCCCCGATATAGACCGGGGAAGGCAGGGTTTCGCCAGGTAGCGGCCGCAGGGTGAAGATATGACCCCCTGTCCCACACATCATACTAACTAACTAGATACTAGGGGATGGGGAACAAAGGGGATGGAACCCGAGGCAACGATGGTTAAGAGTGCGGCATTATCGCTATGTAATCATCTTTAAAAATCATTCGACATGACGAGGTGGCCGAGCGGTCTAAGGCGCTAGATTCAGGACTATCCGATGAAATCGGAGGAAATGTTCTAGTCCGTAAGGGCGTGGGTTCAAATCCCATCCTCGTCAACTTTTTTCCCACCGGAAATTCTGATAAATTTGGCATTTACAAGCTGTCAAAATTACTTAATAACCATTATTATTTAACAATACGAAAACACACACTCATCAATTTTTGGCTTTGTGATCGCGAGGAAGCACGGAAGCCTGGTTGATCCTCCTAGGCATGTGCATTGCCATTCTCAGTCCGCTGCAAATAACATTTACTATATTATTATAACCATATATTATAACTATTCATTATAACTATATATTATAACTATAAATTGCAAATACGCGTTCTCTAATTGTTTGTTGGTGTCGCAACTTTCCCATCGCAACCCGCATACAGCGTGACCCACCTCTGCGTCAAACGGCTGCAGGTCCTCGGCCGTCTCTCCCACTCCGATAAACTTGACAGGCAGTCCCAGCTGATCCACCACACTCACCACCGCACCTGCGGACAACACACATAAAACACGGTAGGAACCGGCAGGGATGGTGGGTTCAGTTGGAAATGTGACTGACCAAAGCGACAAATACCTAAACTGAGGCAAGCGGCATATGCGCAATCCGCGAAAAGAAGGAAACGCCGCACAGCCTGAAAAGAGTAGAAACGCGATACGGGAGCCCGATGAACGAGATGAGCAAATGCCGTTGTTGGAAGGGTGGGTAGCTGAAGCAGACCTTCGAGGATCAAATTCCTCCAGCTTGGTCCTAGTTGGTTCTCAGAGAAGAAGGCGACTTGAAACGGGGTTTGCAGCCGCAGCCAGGGGAACATTCCGTAGCCACGGGAGATGTATGGGACGGTGGTGGCACGTGTGGTGGGAAAACCCACGTAAATATGAGAAAACCAGGTGAAAAAAGGGTGGAAAGGTGCACAGAGGCATGGAAGGGCACTTCCAGTACCAGTACTTCCAACACCGGGTACGACCATCTCTCAAGCACTGTGTAAGCTCCCCCTTTCATGGCTGACGGAGGTTGGGAGAGCGCGCGCGAGAGAGCTGAAAGGTTCGAGCGAGACTCCACCAGCCGGTGCCCGTACCCCCGGGGCTGACTGCAGCTGCTGCCTGACATTCCCCCCTCCACCGCGAAAGGGGAGGGGGGAAGACGAACCACGAACGAGTGAAGCTGACGCCGGGGGGGGGGAATGAGAGCAAATGAGAATGCTGCTGCGGTCGTGCTTCGACTGCCTCGAGCTGACCTGCCTCGATCCTGCTACCTCTCCATCGCCCACAAGGGGGGAAGTCACACCACTGAAACAACCCGTCCGTCTGTCTGTCTGTCTGTCTCCTCCTTAAACCCACCCGGCGCTCCCCCACTCTCTACCTCCGTTAAAGCAATCCCCCCTCCCCTTCCCTCATCCGCCAGCCACATCCCCTCCCTCGAGGAAGCGCGCCGTGTCACGTCGGGAGCCACCCATACACCTCTCACATACCCCCCGCCCCCGGGCTCCCGCCCCAGTCCCCGCCCCCGCCCGGGCCCCCCCATACACACACCCACACACACCTCCCCGTGCAGTGCCATCCAACTTGGTCAGAATTAGCCCGGTCAGCTTCACCGCGTCGTTGAACTCTCTTGCCTGGTTGAGCATGTTGAGGCCCGTAGTCCCGTCGAGCACCAACAACGTCTCGTCGGGCTGCGGGGAGAGAGGGTGGGGACGGTGGGGGCGGTGTAGGTGAGGGTTGGGTGAATGGGGAGGGTGGTGTGGGCTGATGATGGAGGGGGACGGAAGTGGCTGCGCAAATCCCCAACACAACTGAACATCCGCGACCACGGCACGGTAGCAAAGAACAAGATGCAAAAAGGGGAGGGATGGTGCTTTTGGGGGGGAGGGCACCGGACAGAGCTCGCCACGTAAATTTGTTCTCGCGTGCTCCCCTCTTGCCATGACCTTACGGCGGCTGATTCCTAGCTCCTTTCCCCTCCCCACCACACACACACACACACACACACACACACACGCACACGCTCTCATCCGTACACTGACCTGCCCAGTAAGCGCAGTCCCCACCGCCGACTTGCACAGCTGCAGCTCCTCCATGAGCTTGTACGCCGTGTGCAACCGACCTGCCGTATCCACCAGTACGAGGTCGTACACGTCAGCGGGGTCCTTACACGCCCTCTGACGCAGCTCGTCCAAATTCTGCGGAAAAGTTTGAACCACGGCAGGGGCCCTATGGTGGGACAAAGGAGTCCAAAGGAAACAAACAAGGGTTTGGTGATGTACGACTACGACTGCCGTACCGAGGCAATGACGGCTTGCGGTCTCGCCCCCTCCCTGAAGGTTCCCAGCGTCGCCCCCGCGCGGCGACCCCACTCCGCGAGCTGCTCGGCCGCCGCGGCTCTGAAGGTGTCTCCCGGAATGAGGAAGACCTGCGGAGGAGACAGCAGACAGGTGAGGGGGGTGAGGGGGGTGAGGGGGGTGAGGGGGGTGAGAGGGTTTGAGGGGGGTGAGGGGGGTGAGGGGGGTGAGGGTTTGAGGGGGGGAAAGGGCGGGGCGTGAAAAGGAGCGAGTTTGTTATGTGGCAGAGGGGGAGAGGAGTCGCGTGACACTAGCAAAAGAATCACCTGTTGACGGGGTAGGGAGGGGGAGTAGAAACACACAAAGCGGGGAAGGCACGGGGGAAGAGGAAACATGAAAAAGGACGGGGTGGGGGTGGGGGTGGCGGGGGAGGGAAGATGGGCAGGGAAGGTAGGGTGCTAAACTACTGCGTGCCCGTCGTACATCACAAGCCTAGTTTACTCGTACGTTCGTACCATACCCTGAGTACGCTGGCTTCACGCTGGCCTTCCTCCCACAACCATAAGCCCCTGTGTCTTTCACTTCCTATACGTCGTACCTTGGCTCCCTCCTTGCCGTACTTGTACGCCAGCTTCCCGACAGTGGTCGTCTTTCCGGCTCCGTTGACCCCCACAATCAATACGGCAGCTGGCCGACCCTGGAGCCGTAGTTCTGATGTACGGCCCCCCGCTGCCCCCCGACTGGTGAGCAGCTCCACAATGGCCGACTGAGGGAGGGAGGGGGGGAAGGAGAAGAGGGGGGCATTGTGAAGTTTGAAGTCATATGGCGGAAACGACAAACATACAGAGCGACAGCAGACGTCCAAATCAATCACCAACAACGCGAATTGAGGGGGCCAGGAAGTTATGTAGTGCAGATGACCCTCGGGGGGGGGAAGCCAGTGGGGGTATAGAACTGTGACGAGCTTGGCCAGGTGGGGACAGGAAAGGGGTGTGTACTTGAGTGTGTGTGTATTGTACGACATCTCCAAGTAAGGCCTCGCCAGCACCTCAGGGCGTTCAAGACCTTACGTGGGGACCTGTTCATCCGCACACGAGAGCATCCAGGGTTTCATTCCACCCCCGCCCCCCGGGGTTCTCCCCTTACCTCCCTCTTCTCTTTGATCTCGTGGTGCCGTACAGAGAGATAAGCGATTGAGAAGGAGAGCCCTTCCAACCTTCCCCCTCCTTACCCCCCTTCAGTTTCGGACGGCAGCAGCCCATGTCTGAGCTGCCCGCACACAGTGCTGTGGCAGCAAATACAATCCCCCCTTTCCCCCCCGAGTTCCCTCCCCCACGGGGGGCAAAACCCTAACACGGAGATATCGTTGACACCGCCGGACCCATCCAGACGCAGCATAACGTACATTTACCGTACGTCAGTCGTACATACCTTGAGAGCGGCACGTGTGTCGTCAGCGCTCTTCACAGTGCCAGATTTGACTCCATCGCGGATGCGATCCACAATCTTTAGTGCCGTACGAGGACCAAAGTCGGCGCTCTGGGAGCGTCGGGTTAGGGAGGGCGAAACGTGTGTGTTTGTAAGGAGGGTTGGGGGGTGGGTGAGTTCCGAAACCGGTGATCCCGCGCAACGGTGGCGATGGTGGTGTGACCCTAATGATTTCCGCTTTAACCCAAAGAATGCCCAACTGCCCAACTGCCGAAGTTGAAAGCGACCAACCGCTGTTGTTATCGGTGGTGGTGGTATCCATCCATCCACACATCCACACATCCACACATACAAACATACATCCGTACACTCACAATGAGGACCTCCTCCAGCTCCTCCAGGCTCTCCTCGTAGTCTTCCAGACTCCACAGCGCGAGCAGCTCGTCCACCAGCTGGGGTTTGGGGGGCCGGTTTGGGGGGAGGGGGGAGGGGTTTGGGGCGGGCGGTTTGGGGGTAAAGGGTGGGACCGAGGGGGTGTACACACACCCTCCTCCCCCAGGTATGTCTGTTTGTGCTCCCCCCCGGACCTTATTTCCCCCCCCCCGTGGTGGTGTTGGGTTCCCTCGGAGGCACCTGACTTCCCCCCTCCTTCACCTCCCGCCCCAACCCCCCCTCCTTCACCTCCCGCCCCAACCCCCCCTCCTTCACTTCCGGGCCCCAACCCCCCCTCCTCCACCTCCCCCACAGACACACACAAATATTGAAATCCAGGGTCTTCCAGGAATCTTCGTCTTTGGTTGGTTACATTCACAGCCCCAAGGGCCACCCCCCAGCACCGAAAGCCGCAGCCCCCCAGGGCCCCCAGGTCGTTACCACACCGGACGGTCCCCAACTTCCAAACGGTAACGACAACTGCGTCCGCAAACCCCCTTTCCCCACTCCCCCCTTCAACTGCTGAACCCCCATTCGCCTCCCCCCAACCCCCCACCGCTCAACACCCCGCTGCCTGAGGCTCCCCCCACCCATCCGCCTGCCCACAATCCGCACCACCACCACCACCGCCATCACAACCACCACAACCACGCAAACCACCACGTACCCCCAGGCGCTCTCGTGTCTTGGAGGTCCCCTTGAAGAAGCGGTCAAAGTCGCCCGCGGCCTTCTCCTTGATGACACGACCCAGCCGCTGAAGCAGCCCAGCACCGCCACCACCGCCGGCGTCGCTGTTGCCGCCGCTGGCTCGCACCTGAGGCAGGACGTGCAGCGGAAGGGTGAGGAGGGTGGGCGGCCGTCGGAATAGAGGGCTCGCCGATGCTAGGGAGGGAGGGAGATGGGGAGGGAGATGGACAGGGAGATGGGGAGGGAGATGGGCAGGGAGATGGGCAGGGAGAGACAAAGACCTCGCGGCTCAGATCAATAGAACAGAGGGACTTGTAACCGCGAGCGGATGACCTCGGGCGGGTGAAGACGAATGGCTGAGCACATTTACGAGGGGCAAAGGCTGGCAGCTTCATCAGCATGGGGCAAAATGGTATGTAAGGGTGTGGGGACCCGCGCGGCACGCGTAGGCTAAAGGTGTGTGACGAGATGGGTGGGTGGCAGCCCGCAGGTTCGCGAGCGTCTCCCCAGGTTCGTGCCGCCCATCAATACCAAGGCGGTTGCAGGCAGCTGTGGGAGGTTAAAGCCTGGACGTTCCCCCCAAGACCGAATCGATGAAGCGGCATGGGCTTAGCCTTACCTTAATAGCACCACGTCGGCTACAGGTTTGGAATGAAGCCACAACGGTGTGGTTCCTGTTCCGGCTCAGCGCGCTGCCACCGCACTGCGGGCGACTGAGGTGCGTTCGCTGCATGGCGGTCTATCCAGGTTCAAGCTTAGATCTAATAAGCGCTTATAAATTAGAAGTAAGCACTTAACCACGAAGCAGGACGTGGTAAATGAAATGCGCTGAAGTGCACAAAACACCAGCAGTTCGTAACAAGGCACTGTCAGCTCTCCCAAAGCCGCTCAGCAAGTGGAATAGGATTTCAGTAAGCGATTAGCGAAATTACGCAAGTCTCTGACTTTGGCAATTTGCAAAACTGCCTGGATCTGCATGTCGTCCAAGCCGTCATAAAGTGGGAATTGCGCAAGATTTGTAGTTCACAAAAAATATATTACTGTGCACTTTTTTTCTACAGTAAGTATGAATATAAACGCTGAATGTAAACGTTGAACATAAACGCTGGGGTACACTGTGGAAACGGGACATAACCGCCCGGGTCCTCGCTCGCGCATGGTCTTATCTCATAGCCCCACGAACTGCATTTCATCACTCACACATGCGATCATACAACAACCCTCAAGGTGGATGGTTGCAGGCTTGGGCCAGGTTGCGCGAGGCGCGGTCCAATCGTCAGATGTGTATGTTAGCCTCATGGACTTAAATACTACCCTTAACATACAGCCCCCATTGGTGATCCTCCCCTAGACATGGAGGGGGAGGGCCTCGTGGGGCAATTGTTGGGCGCGGCGGTAGGCCCATGGCTTGGCGGAATGCAACCCCGATACGGGGCCATTGACCACGGCTGTCAAATTCTTGGGTCCCTACAATTACAAAAATCCTAATCAACACGATAGAGCGAAGCTTTTGGCTTTCGGTTTTTGGCGTGCACAGGGCCGTTCCTTAGCCGGTTCTACGGGGAAGACTGCTCCATCGCATGTGCGTGCGTGCTGGAGGCGGTCCCCAAAGCCAGAAGCTTCACTTCCCAAAGTCGAGTGAAATTGGATGGATTAAAAAGTGTAGGAACCATGGATATTGCAGCCGCGGACCATGGCATTAGACGGCTGGTTTGAGACATGAGGGAGCTTTTAACTACACTCTCGCTTTCCTATCCACCTCGGGATCCGCCTTGGTATACGCGTTGGCATCCGCCTCAGGATCCGTATCGGGATCCGCCTTGCTTGATCCGTTGCGCTTTGTCGTACTTCCGTTGGTGCGCAGCCGTTAAGACGGCTCACAACCCATCAATCGGGTTCTCTCGATCCCACCACAACTGTGGAGGAGCTGCTTGAATGGGCAGGAGCATTACAGAGCTCCCTCAGCCTGACATGAACGTCCATGAGAGCACCATCTTGCTGGAGTAGCGTGATTAAGCCACATCCAAGAGAGAATTCTGCATAATGAGCTAATAGCTATGATGATTAGCTATGGTGCTGATGAAATATCGAGCCAAGGGTAGGACGAACAACAGAGAACGGTGGGACAAGGAGTTGGCGGATCACAGCTTCAGTCGACTTCATTCCCGGCAAAGATCCATTACACGAATTTCAGAACATATCGGCATAAGAAGCCAGAGGCATGATGGCAAGCGTTGAATCGGCATGATGACGATCCTCTGCCTGCCGAGGCAGTGCCGTGGTCAACCATCCAGCAGTACACCCAGCACCGTTTCTTGCATTCGAGGTGAAGATGTTCCATTGTGCCGAAAATCTTGAAGCATGTAGTGCTCCGTCGATTTGGCATAAATAAAATACTTGCAGCCCGTGGAGGCACGCGCCTGGCACACGCGAAGCCTTGGGCAGTGAAAATGAGTCGAGATGCGCCATGGCTGCCGGGCGCCAGACGACGAGCCCCAACACAGCCTCAGGATCAAATTCAAAAGCAGATAACATCGTCCCTTGCAGAGCAAGTGCTTCTTTGGGACGCATACGAAGAGAAGCACATGTTCGACAGCAGACGCAACCGCCTTGCAAGGAATTTTCTCAGCTCCAGCAAGCAAAACTGTGGTTCGTGCTGGTTCCGTATGTCTATCCCACCGAGATGGCTGCCGGCAAGCTTGGTGATATTTGCGGGTGTTGTGCTGACCTGCAGCATCTGGCTTTCGGAGGAGTCTTCACTTGCCGCTATCCCTTGGCCTTGGCACAACTTTATACCTCCTCCAGCTGTAACGAATGCAATCCTGCTGGCTTTTGCTGGCGTCACCTGCATTGTACTTGCGCCAGCTGGAAGACCGCTTTTGCCCCTGAGGGCGAAAAGCCTTATATATTTCTTCTGGCTGGGCTTGAATTTGTTATGGTTCATAGCAGGGTAAGTCCTTCCTGCGTTGCCCTCGACTGCTGCATCAATCACAGAACGGAATACTCGCGATGGCACACACCCAGTTTCCAACCCCTCTGTTCCTCTGCGAACTCTCCTGTGCCAATTTCTCAACATCCATTTGGGCCTCCTTTCCCCGCCGAACCTGCCCCACCCCACCTGACCGCGTTATTCCGCACCAGCAGGATCCGCGACCGCGATTTCCGCAAACCCAGTTGGCTGAATCAAACCCGCGTTCCTTCCCGGGCCAAGCACCTCAGCGAGCCCGTGCTGCGCCTGCTGCGCCTGCTGTACGGCGTGGGTATGGCCTCAGCTTGGCCGCTGCTGGGCAACCTGTTCGTGGCGCTGCTATCCGGAACGGACCGCGGTCTTTTCCTGCTGGGCGCTTGCCTCGGAGGGGGATTGGGACATGAGGAGGGGGTGCTGTCACACGCGCTGTGCGGCACTGCTGTATGGGTATGGGCGGCGAGCCACGGTGGGTTGGCGGTCGCGCAAATGTGGGGGGAGGGAAAGGTGTCGTGTGTGGTTGTACGGCAATAGAGGGGGGTAGGGCTCCCATCTCATGGGCGTGTGGGAGGGTGTCGGTAGAGGGAGGCAGTAAGGGTTAAGTGCATGTGGATATGGCTAACGGGGTTGGAAATAAAGGGTGTTGACACGCGGGCTGGGTTTCATCAGCTGTTTGTGCCGGACCTGTCGTGAGTCGTGAGGGTGGTCCTCTCTTCCTCCGCTCCCTCTCTGCAATAGGGCCCCTGTCACCTCCCCCGGTTGTGTGTTAGTAGGGGGCCCCGTTAATAGGGGGCTGGACTGCGGCAGGTCCTCGGATAGACATCGCGTGGGGGTGGATCCTTTCTTTCCATTTGCACCCCATCCTTATACTTTCCCCTCCGCCTCCTCTTCACTTGCCAGTGGCGCGTCTTACCCTCCTCCTCCTCGTCCGCGTACCCATACCCTCCCATCCCATCATCTATATCGCTTTTCCCAGGTCCAGTTCGAGTCAGCTTCTCAGGGTTACAGATAGAACTTTGTTCTCCGCTGAGGGGATTTTCTTTTCCCCTCCGCCTCCCCGTCTCGCAAATCCCACTCCGCTGCCTCACATCTCACCCCCGCCACCCACCTCTCCCGCCACCCAACCCCGCCATACACACACACACAGCGCTTCTGACCCAGATACCCATGTTGGTCGCTGGGCTGTGGAGAGTTATCGTACTGCCCCCCTGGGACGGCTCCGAAACCAAGGCCACATCCAACTTCATGGGCCTTATGGTAAGGTAATGGTGAGGAGGATGGCCTCTTTCTGACCGTGCTTGTGTTGCCTGTCTACCTGTCCTCCCTCTCTCTCTCTATGTACATTTGTCCGTGTAGCTGTTTACGTGTTGTTTAAACTGTTGAGATGTAAGACTTTATATCTTACGGACGACTCCAAAGGGACTTGCGGTTTACATGAACGCGAAACTCCGGAGTCGTGACAAAATTGATTACTATCCCGACATCATGCGATATTTCAGTTCGTACGGTGGGATTGACTTCCCATGGGGCCCCCGGGCTTGAGGACCCCCCGCCGCATTCGTGCGAAATGTGTAACTTGTGTAACTTGTGTTGGCGAGACGGCGGTAGGTGGAAGTGCAGTAGTGGTGGTGGTGGAGCCGCCCCCGGCCACCCGGGGGGTGGTGGGTTATGGGCTCGGGGAGGGGCGGGTTGCGGCGGTTGTGGGAGGTGGTTGAGGACGCCGTTCAGATAGGTGGTTGAGGACATGCAACTCTTCCTGCGGCCATCCCCTACCCCATCCCTGGCAGCCTTCGGGAGTTTCGGGTCGTACCGAGACTCCCGAAAACAGAAATAGAGTTCCCGAAGCCGGCCGGCTTGCAGAATAGGATCATACACTGTATACGAATGTCAAACTATTGCAAAACACGCATTTTCATTCCGCGGACTTGTTACAAAAATTGTACGGCGGACAGAAATAGGCCCGTTTCCGAAACCAGAAATACCCCGTTTGCCGATGTCTGATCCCTGCCCCAAGACACAAACACACACGAACACAAATATGTACATACACACACCCTCTTCAGCACGTCGGGATTCACATGTCAGTTACATATCCCCCCCGGGGCGCCCGGCGCGCCAAACAACACCTAGGCTTTACGCATCACACATGCATCCTGTCTGCGCTTAATACACCTCATTACGCGTCGAAATACACATGCACACCGCCCTCCCTCCCCTCCCCCCCCCTCCCCCTCCTCCACAACAGGCGTTCCTGTCGCTATGTGCCCTGGGTGTGTCCTCCCTCGCCCCATTGCGCCGCCGCTTCTTCAACACCTTCCAGGTGCTGCACTTGGTGCTGGCACCCGCGGTAGGTGGACACGTGTGTGTGTGCTTGTGTGTTTGGGGGTGGGTGGGTAGAAGGGCAGCCGTGGACAGCGTATGTATGTATGTTGTTACAGGGTGGTTAACTTCGCCAGCGGCCCCCTTTCCCGTGGCAGTCCCTGCTCTCCCCTGCTAGAGGGGCACCCTAATCCGTCACCCCATCCGACTTCAGAATGTATTCGGTGGGTTCGGCAACTCACCACCAGCATCCAACCAAATCTAGCGGATCAACGGCGCATCAACTTAGTTCCTGGTCAGCTCGCAAGTTGAAATTATCACGTCCTACACCGTCCATATGATGGGGGGCCACCTCCCATTTCATCACTCCTCAAACACCCGAGGAGCCGGCAGGCGGATTTGAACCCGGGTCGACTGGGTCGACTGGGAGCAGAAGTCAGGCCTTAACCTCTGCCAGCCGCCTGCGTATGTATGTATGTATGTATGTATGTATGTATGTATGTATGTATGTATGTATGTATGTATGTATGTATATGTCTTGGCAGGTTCGCTGGACCCTAGATTGCTTGCGTCGCTGGGGGCCCCCAGCAGCAGCCATACAACGAGTGGCAGCAGCAGCAGCAGCAGTAGCAGCATGACGGCTTCTGAACTGCCAGATGCGCGATCTGCCACCACAAGCACCACAACCATAACCACGCAAAACGAAACCATAACGCCACCCACGCTGTTCCTCGGAGGCCTCGTACGAGCTGAGTCCTAATCAGGTGCATGCACACGCGCGCGCACACAGGTACTGCTGTTCGGCTGCCTCCACGACAAAAACATCTTCTGGTACGGCATGCTGGGCGCCACACTGTATGCCGCGGATGTCGTACAGCGCTGGATGTTGCGCCGCCGCACCGCCGTTGCCACCGCGACTGTATACCCGCACCATTCCCGATATTCCGCGGCGATTTCGCACTCACTGGCGGCGGTGACGTCAACTGGTAGGAATCCAACGACGTCCCATGGGTCAGTGGTGGCGACCGTCGCCGCCGCCTCCACTGGGTCGGTGGCGGTGGCAATGGGAGGCGGCTCCGGAACCGGAGCCCTCGATGACCGCCAGTTTGTGGTGTTGCGGATTCACACGGGGGGCGGTGCACCGGGGTGTGTTTGCGGCCAACACGTGTACCTCAAGGTGGATCGGGGGGTCGGGGGTCGGGGGGGGGAGGTGGACGTGGGTGTATGCGGTGAAGGTGGGGAGGATGTGCTGGCTTGGCTCACTTGTTTGGTGCGTGTGTGCTGGGGGGGGCGCCGCGAGATGTGTGTTGACCATCTTACCACCTCAGTACGTCTGTACTCCTACCTCTCCCTTCAGCCCCATGGTGGTGGTGCTGGTGGGGTGGGAGTGGTCCTGACGGGTGGCGGTAGTGGTGGTAGCGGTGGGTGGCTGAACGTTGGTGACATCCACTTCCTCCCCCTATCCCTCCCAGCCCGCACCCGCTAACTACCACCGCCTTCTCCGGATCCGTCCTCTAGCAACTCAAACCAACCCCAACTACCTGGGTTTGCGTGTGTATGTCCGTTAACCCCATCTTACCAGTATTTCCCCCCCGCTGCCCACCCACCTCCGCCCGCCCGCCGGGGCTCTCAAACGGCCCCCCACCCGCTGCCCACCCAACCCCCCCAGGTCCCCGTGCCCCTGATCCCCTAAATTACCCTCTTCAGAAGTTCCTTCCCCACCCCCCCCCCCCCCA